TGTAGACCACACAGACTACATCACAAGTGACACCTCTCAGGAAGATTATTTTACACAGCAAGATCTGATACCTGTCAGTATAATAATAATAATAATAATAACAATAATAATAATACATTATATTTGTATAGGGCTTTTCAACGATTCTAAATCGCTTTACAATATAAGGGAAGGTTAGGGTGGGACGTATAGGACTATCAAACTTGATCAACCGGCATGATTGATGGAGGAGGGGGGCTATGAGTAGACAGAGAGAGAGATGAGTTTTGAAAAGGGACTGGAATACTGTGAGGGTCTCAGAATAGCGGATATCTTTGCATCAATATGTTCATAACGGTTTTTTTCAAAATGTAATTTTTTTTCTCGAAAATATAAATAGTGAAAAATGTAATATAAAATATTTCTAGTGTGAACCAAAAAAAAAAGTGATTTTTATTTTAACCAAAATGACAAAATGGCATAAAAACACATTATTCTAATACGGGTCCATTTTGACCCACTTATGGATGAGTGTAGGGTCCAGTCACTCGTGCATCTAAGGGGTTAAGGGTCTAATGTCTGTCAGTCAATGTCTAAATTGTAATTGGTTTTTTTCCGGAAGCAGTTTATAAAAGCTCATAAACTAAAACTGAAATAGAGAGACAGCAGTTTTTTGATTTCGTTTTTAACCAATCAGTTACCAATTCAGTTTAATCTTAGTTTTCTTAAAGGATATCGTTTTTTTTTTCTTCAGTATTTAGTTTACAGCAAAAATGTTTACTCCTTTTATTCCTAAAAGTTTTATTTTACATTTATAACTCTGATGAGAGTGCTTTCATCTTGATAACAGGGACAGCAGTTTACTTTTGCAGAAGTGTAGTTTGTGTATTACCTTAAACCACATGTGTCAAACTCAAGGCCCGGGGGCCAAATCAGGCCCGTGGTGGATTTAATTTCTGCCCGCAGGATAATTTCGAATTACTATTAGATCTGACCCGCCGGTATATTGCACGCACACCTTCACTCCACCCTGAGGGTTCCTCATCTCAGAGCCTGAGCCCAAACATTGATGAACTTGCACCCAAGATGAGATGCCAAGTATCTGCTTGAGCTAGCATCACAGAGCAGCAACCTGAGTTTCAATGTTTCCTTCTGCACTTTCTCTCACGACAGCAGGGCATGTTTGGTTTCTTCTTTGAGGGAAATCTCTTTTTTGAAGCTGTTGTTGGCCTGTGGAAAAATGTAATCATAAGAAATGACTCTGCAGATAGAGCCATAAGAAATGAATGCAACTGATTATTTAATGTTTCATGTTGTTTTTATAGGCAATAACTTAAGCTTTGTTAGTTCCAGGTTTAATATGTGCAATAAGTTCATTTCAATACGTTCTGCAATAAACATTGAACCAGTCCGGCCCTCGACTAGTACCCATTTTTTAATGTTTGCCCACTGTGTATTTGAGTTTGACACCCCTGACTTAAACTCTAGATGATTTTCAGGTCAGTCCTAATGTATGTATTCTTCTCCCTCAGGGTTGTAACAAAGCTTTGATGAAGTTGAGACTGAAGAAGACGGCAGTAGACGACATCTCTGACAGTTTGCGTCAGGCCGGGGGAAAACTCAACTTCGATGAACTGCGCCAGGATCTGAAAGGGTGAGAAAGACTGCTAAAACCTCTTGTGATATCAATTCAATGGTTGATTTATCGTTTTGTACCCTTACATTTATATATGAGTGTCTTCCTATTTCTTTCTTGTCTCAGGAAGGGCCACACAGACGCAGAGATTCAGGCCATCTTTGCCAAGTACGATCACGATGGAGACCAGGAGCTGACGGAGAACGAACACCAGCAGATGAGAGACGACCTGGAGAAAGAGAGAGTGAGTGACCATGCCTACAGAAAACACAAAAACAAAACACCCTCTGCATGCACGTGTTAGTTTACTCTCGGCCTGCAGATGTTCAGTGTGTCTCTGCTCGCTCGCCAGGAGGACTTGGATCTGGAACGCAATTCGCTGACGAGAGCCACCAGTGGGCGGAGCTTCCCTCGCACTCAGGACGACTCGGAGGAAGACGATGACGAGGACAGCGGCCACAGCTCGCGACGCCGCGGCAGCAGCTCCGGGGGGGTCTCCTACGAAGAGTTTCAAGTGTATGGAGCTTTTATTATCATTGTTGTACTGTAACTTCATGCATGTGACTCTACAATAACCACATCTTCAAACAACTTAAATATACAAGAACGAAATTAACTTCTTAATAGAAAAAAGTAAAAATGATCTGAGATTAAAGTCACAAAATGTACCAAGGACAATCAGGAAATAAACCGGGGTCATGAATAATACAGATCAATCTGCAAGGTAAGATCACCGTTATCACAACATAGTGATTATTGTTTAACTACAAGGACCCTTTCATGCCGACATAGTTGATAATTAAATACAAGTTGAACTAATCACTGATTAATAATAGAAATGTATGGCAGACTCATTATCATACCTTAAAAATGTACATACATACTGTATTCAAGTTGTTCATACTAATCAGAATGACTGTAGTAATTAATGTAGTAAAGTAAGACATGTTAATCTGGGCTGTGTGTTCCTCAGGCTGGTGCGGCGTGTGGACCGGATGGAGCACTCCATCGGCAGCATCGTGTCAAAGATCGACGCCGTGATCGTGAAGCTGGAAACGATGGAGAGAGCGAAACTCAAACGCAGAGACGTGCTGAGCCGACTGCTGGACGGAGTCATGGAGGTGAGGAGCTGCAGAGATAAATAATAATAATACACTTTATTTATATAGCATTACATTACATGTCACTTGCTTTTATCCAAAGCGACTTACATCCTCAATACTGTGGACAATCCCACAGGAGCAATTTGGGGTGAAGTGTCTCAAGGGACACAACTACATGCTGACTGCAGTGGGTTTGAACCCGTGACCCCTGATCCCAACACCAACGCACTAGACAACTGCGCCACACGCCCCCCATAGCACCTTTCATGCTTGACGCAGCCCAAAGTGCTTTATGACAAAAAAAATGACAACAAGTGAGGAACATAATCAAAATATGTAAAAACAATAAAACATGAACAGTGATACTGCAAAAAATGATAAGCCAAGTTTAAAAGATTTACTAATTTACTTTAGTTGCTGTTCTAAGATCAAGGCTGTTCCACAGTTTGGGGAACAATCAGTGTGTCTGACAGAAACCTCTGTACATCTCAAATCAAAAAGGCTATACGGATTTATGAATTATGTTTCAATAATAAAGACGCTGGAGAGAAATGGAAATTCTGTCCTGCAGCTAACTTATGTGCAGATTGACAGCAACCAGATTAGAACAGTGCTTGTTGTCAGATTTCCTGCGTCAGGCAGTTTCTTGTGTGCATGTAAACACACTGTGTCTCTCTGTCAGGACGAGCGTCTGAGCCGGGACACAGACGTCCACAGGGAGCAGATGGAGCGGCTGGTGAGGGAGGAGCTGGAGCGCTGGGAGTCTGACGACGTGGTGTCTCAGGCCAGCCACGCTCAGCCCGCCACCCCCAGCGGCCCCCGCCCCCCTCCTCACTCTCCACCGACGGCCTCGACACCAGCACCAACGCGAGCGGCCATGTGTGAGAAGTCAGCCTGATGGAAGGAAGAAAAACACTCCTCTGGAAACTCCCCTGCACAAGCAACCAAGACATTTCCTCACATATTACAAAGGAGGTGACAAAATCAAAAATGCACTGAAAGTGAGTGAGGTCCTCCTGTGAGACATCTTAAAGTATTCACTAAAGCTAATATTAAGTATTACTTAAACAGGATGATGAAGGGAAATGTGGAAATATGTGAAAGAGGTTAAATAGTGAAGGATTTACAGTACAGTGTTACATTGCAGTAAATATTATACCGCAGCCTGCCAGCATGCTCAGATGTACTCAGAATACGCAGCGTATGATTTTAGTATCACATGAGAAATATGCTCACCTGCTTTTGATTGCTGTATCCACACATCTTAGCATTTACACAAATACCAAAAAATCGTGCTAATTCTTTTTTCATCGTTTTAATACACAGTAGGTACAAGTGTGGCACGTTCTGTCATATTTACTCATCCTCTGTACATCAATTAAGCTTCAAATTTAATAGCTTATTATCACTTTATGATACATATTGTAACTTAAAACAAACTTCGATTTGGAGTGCATTTAGTGTTCATGGGAAACCCATGCATTTATTATTGTTTTTCTGTGCCTTACTTTTTTTTTTACAATCTATTTCTTTTTTTTAATCTATTATAATGCCAATAAAGTGTTATTAAAATACTGGATACTGTTTAATTTTTCAGACTTTTTTTGTTGTTGTAGTTCTCCAATAATAATAGGTTAAAAAAAGCATTTGATTGGATTAGATTTCACTTTATAAAGGGTCTTTATGTATCAGGGATAACTGACTGAAAAACATATTATATTTTTCTAGTATGTTTCTAAATGGCACACTATGGAAAAAAGTTAGCATGTTATCAAAACTCACTGCACACACAAAAAAACACAAAGTCCAATGTTATTTAAAATGTTTATACATGTTTTCAAAAAGCTGTCTGATAATATAAATGTTTATAAATGTTCTCTGGAATAACAAAGCAGGGGTGTCAAATTCAATTTCATTAGCCTTATGGTTGCACTCAAAGGGCTGGTATAATATACTATATAAATATATAATATATATATATAAAATAATGTATTATATAACATTATTGCCTCTGAATTGGATTATTATCGGATAGGGTAAACTAACTACGTTTGAAAGCAGAAGTCCAGGGCAAATAATTGCAAGTCTCTTCAGTGCATGTCACAAAACGAGATGCATTGTGGGACATGTAGTTTATGGGCAACCTGCTTCTGTAAAGTGGCATGTAACCGTATAATAAACGTATTATATTCTTTGCAAGCTCTTGTGGGGCCACATAAAATGAAGCCGCGGGCCGGATTAGGCCCCGGGCCTTGAGTTTGACACCCCTGACATAAAGGGTTAACACACACTATCTATAATATAATGATATACTATCTACAAATACAAATGATCAGTCATTAGTTAGAATCAAGGTCATTTGGAAATTGTGCAAAAACTAAATAACCAACATTACTAAATTACAAAAGTACAGGATAAAATCTGATTTGGAAATAATACAACAAATGTAAATATTCATAAATAAAAAATACATCCAAAATATATTCATTCTCACTGACATTGCATTAAGAACAACCAACTGAAATTGGTATGGTAGATTTATTCAAACTTTAAACAGAGCCAGAGCTGTTTCCTCCTGCTTCAGGTCTTTATGCTAAGCTAACTTCCCCCTTACTTATTAGCACACAAACATGAGAGTAGTTCCTCTCGTCTCATCTAACTTTATGCAAAAAATGGTTGTATTATTCCTATAATACTGACAGTTTTGGTGAATATTTACTGGCCTGGTCCCATGAAGACAAACATAAAAAATGCAACATTTGCATAGTTTTAATAATCACATTTAAGTGAATTTCTTGATGTAGCGAAGTTTCAGATAGGCGATGATGAAGAAAATGAACGTCATGGCGGTCAGAGCCACGTGGTTCTCCCACAGTCCCCACGTGGTGTACTCTATTCCCAGGTAGTCCAGGTACTGCTCCCCTGTACATCTGCAATAACAACCCCAAGATAATATTTGATAGTTAATAGTTTAATATAATACGGAAGCCCTGAGAGGCAAGTGAGATACAAATACATGGATCCATTCTCTAAGTCTGTGTTGATGTGGAAAAGAAGATCCCAGGATACTGTTTCTAGGTTCCTTCTAACTCTTTAGGAGGTGAGTTTTAACTTCAGCATGCACCATTATGCACATATGATACAATAACTGCGCGTTGGTTTAACATTACTGTCACGTCTTCCTTTTGGCTGGAGTTGCATTTAATCGGCGCTAATTTGCCGTTTAGGAAAACATGAATGATTTTGGTCCCATATAGTACAGGAGGTATGTTGCACTTGGTCAAAAATATGTTTTACTCCAACAAACACACTGCCAAACCCCGCTCTGGTCTCAAAAGTCAAACCTAAAATTTAGGAAAACTTATAAATATTTTAAAAACCTGTTCTTATGTAAGAAACGGAGAATATAAACAATTTAGATTAGATTTAAAAAATTGATGAACAGACACCTAATTTCTTTCACTTGCCTCTGTACATAGACGTTTGTAAAGCCAAGTCTAAATAAGGTTGTGAAGAGTGGCAACTTCAACATGAGCGATGGTGGACTAGCTCAACTGGAAAAGTCATATTTGATCACAGAGGTTATTAAACCAGTAAGACCCAACCAGGTCACCACACATGCAGGAGTACTCACGTCAGGCCGGCTGCGCTCACGCTGCAGTTTGTCCCTGCAGCCGACATGTTTCTGATCCCAGCCTCGTCACAGAACTTCAAACCCACAAACTCATTGATCTTCAAAGCCTGGACAAAGACAATATAGTCAATGAACGCTGAGCAGAACAAATTGAACATGGTAAATTAGACTGTAAACTCAGACTGATCTGTGTGGTCAATTAGGGAACTCAAATGAGCTGTGTAAGGAGGTGCTCACACTATTCTAAGAGAGGACTTTTTAACCTTACAGCCAACTATGTAAAGAGGGTTTAAGCTATATGATTAATATTAGGAATTAGACATTGCAAACATTCAGGATAATGTCAGAAAACATCTCAACACGATATATAACATAAGTCTAGTCGTTGTAGGACATTTGAATGCAGGAATATCACAAATAAAACCTTTAATTGTGACTTACTGCGAGGCCATAGCGAGGAATGCTGAAGTATTTCAGCCACGCCAGCCAGTCCATGATGCTGGGGAGGTTCACCAGCAGACCTGAGAAAATCTATAAACACCACACCAAAGTTTACATTTTGAATCACAGCAAGAAAAGCCCAGCCACTGTGACTATATAGCACTTTATCCTGTGTTTGTGACTCCCCAAAGCGCTTTACATATACAAGCTAGCATTCACCCAATCACACACAGTCATACAGAGGCTGAGGCTGCCATACAAGATGCCGCCTGCTCAAGGAAGCCAACACTCACCCACATTCACACACCGTTGGCCATCGACTAATAACATGAATTGAGTCCGAACACATCTGAGTCCTAATTAAAGGTATTAGTGTCGTCTGTGTATATTTTGGCTTGTCTACATATTTCCCTGTGTGGTGTCTCTCACCATCATGAAGACGAAGGTGATGGTCATGAAGATGTTGGCGAGGGCGACGACGCTCTGGTCGGCTGAGATGGCCATCGTCATGGCGGTGGCCGTGTACGCCACCAGGGTCACCGTCAGCGTGAAGACGAGGAACTCTGCGGCGGAGGATTTCAGACCTGCATGGAAACACAAATGTACGAATGTAATTACTTTATAGATTACATTAAAAATAGAATAGAATAGAATACTTTATTGTCATTATACAGCAGGGGTGGGGAACCTCCGGCACCCGGGCCGTATACGGCCCGCGAAACCATTTGGTGTGGCCCTCGAGGTAATTTATAAACACACGCAAAAAAGAAAAAAATTAAAGAAATCTAGACCGCAAAATAATTAAACAAGTGAGTGCCTGTTTTTCCTGGCCAAGGTCAGGGTCCATGAACACAACACAAGCCTAACGTGTCATCAGTGGTATGTCTGACATGGGTGTAGTTCTGACGGAGAGCACAAGAACGCAGCTCCGCTCCGGCACTTCCAAAAATTGCAGTACCCGTAAGGAGCCGTACACATGCCGCAGTTTTTGCGTGGCTGTGTCTTTAGTTGAAAGCCCAGTGGTGATCTGCTCATCTGTCATACTGATCATACAGTCAATAACTTTGTTGTTATTAGCATCTGGTTAGCTAGCTATGCTAACGAATATAAGAAGCTTTTTCTACAACAGTGAGGTAAAGGCACATCTTTATATGATCATCATAATTATAAAAAAATAAGAGAATAAAGTAAACGGGTATAAAATACTATATGACAGTAAAAAACAGTTGTTATTAATAAACAAGAATACAGTTTGAAAGGGGAGTGATTTGTAAAATATCCATAAAGAAAAAGAAAATTGTTTACAGTTCTGTTTCATGGGTGTTGAGAGATGTATCCATAGATCTACTAATGTTGCTCTCAAAGTGCACCAGATTGATGCTTTTAACTTCAACATTTAAAAAAAAATCTTCCCGGACCCCCCTAGAGGAGGTTAGGTCCCCCCCGACTTAAATCATGTTCACATGGATAGGAGTCTAAATACATGTGCACACATCTTGTGTCCATATCTTTCTGTTTGGTGGTCATGCCACAACCGTGCACGTGCATGCGTGCGTGAGTCATGGCAAGATATCTGGATTAAGAGGTTGCTTTGTCTTTGCACAGCATGAAAGAAAGGTGAAATGAGTGGGCTGTGATTTTAGTATTTTTAAGCAGAGGTCAATAATTTGTACGGCCCTCGGAGGATGTTGAAAACATTGAAATGGCCCTTGAGAGGAAAAAGGTTCCCCACCCCTGTTATACAGCTACAATGAGATGAGTAGAGCTACTCCTTTTTTTAAGGTGCCATCAAAAATACAAAAAACAAACGTACAACATTCAGGAGAAGACAACATACAAACAACAAGCATTCATACTTCAATATGCAAAAATAAGAAAGGAGCTAAATGTTTAGGATGTTGTTTAATCAGATTCTATTTGTGATATATGCCTTGAAGTTTGTCTCAAAGCACTTTTTTGAGTCTTTTCAGTCTTACCGATCATGAAGTAGACGATGCAGCTGAAGATCACGGAGGTGATGGTGCGCAGAGTGATGTCGGACAGGATCTTAGACAGGAAGTAGACGGACACCCTGTAGTAGCCGCTGATGTACTCATGACTGTAACGTGAAACAGAAACATAAATGAAGTTCTAGCTCTTATTACTCAATCCAAAGGTTAACTTAAACATTAACCACTTAACGTACACGAACAGTTTCCTCTCAGTGATGAAGAGCTCCGCTGCAGACACGGTGCTGAAACACTGGTTGGTAGTGATGAAGAAGAGGGCGCCATCCTGCAACAACCAAAACAAACACCAGGCTTTTATTTCAATATTTGATTTTCCACATACCAGAGAGAAAGAGGTAGCACGTCACTTGCTAATAATAATGAGAAATGAGAATGTGCCAAATTAAATGAAAAAGATATCATATAAACATATGAATTTAAAATAACAATGTCCAGTGAAAGTTGGAAATAATAATAATAATATAGGGAATAGGCACAGCTTAATAAGTTACTA